CAGGTTTCTTGTGATCGTTTGGACGCGCAGCGGTTCCGCCGGTCGGAGGAGCACCGCTGTCGGTCCAAGGAAAGCGCGCCCAAGCGTGGCCGCGACGGCGTGCCGCGCGGCCCGCGCGGCAGCGGGACGCTGCCTACAAGTCGCAGCCGCTCCGGCACGAGTCCTCGCAGACGATTCGGACAATCGAATCAGCGGGCTTGAGCGCGCGCCTATGACAACTGCATGAAGTTTCCCGGCTAACCCTCACTACATCTTGTGTCGCCACCCCGCCTGTTTTATGTAGACTGACATCGGCGACTCGAGCGTTGCCACGCGGTGACCGGCGAGGAGAGAGGCCTTGGCTATAGCCGACAGGTATCCGGCTCTTGTCCTCAATGCGGACTTCCGTCCGCTGAGCTATTTCCCCCTGTCGCTCTGGTCCTGGCAGGACGCCATCAAGGCGGTCTTCCTGGATCGAGTCAATATCCTGGCCAACTACGACCAGGCGGTGCACTCCCCCTCCTACGAAATGCAGCTTCCCAGCGTGATCTCGCTGAAGGAATACGTGCATCTAGACCGCCGGCCGGCCTTCACGCGCTTCAACGTCTTTCTGCGCGACCGCTTTAGCTGCCAGTACTGCGGCGACCGCTTCCGCACCGAGGAGCTGACCTTCGACCACGTGGTGCCGCGCTCGCGCGGCGGACGCACCACCTGGGACAACATCGTGACCGCCTGCCAGGGTTGCAATCTGGTCAAGGGAAACCGCCTACCGCGGGAATCCGACATGTTCCCGCTGCACCGGGCGCAGCAACCGACCACCTGGCAACTGCAGCAGAACGGCCGGGCCTTTCCGCCCAACTTCCTGCACGAGAGCTGGTCCGACTTCCTCTACTGGGATTCCGAGCTGGAGTCCTGACCGCAGTGCCGGGCCCGGAGGGCGGCGCTGGCTTGGCTATTGCCTGGTCCGACGCCGTTCGCGCCAGGCCAGCAGCAGCGCGCCGGTGACGATCAGCAGCGCGCCGCCCAGGGCCGCCAGCTCGGGCCGCTCGCCGAACAGCGCCAGGTCGTAGAGCGCGGCGAAGATCAGCGTGGCGTAGAAGAAGGGCATGACGTAGCTGGCGTCGGCCCGCTTCATCGCCTGGATGAAGAAGGCCTGGGCGGTGACCATGGTGACGCCGAGCAGCGCCAGCAGCCCCCACTGCGCCGGCGCGGGCGCGGTCCATACGAAGGCGGCGGCGGTGGCGGCGACGCCGGCCCCGATCGCGTTGTTGATCACCAGGATGCGCACCGGCGGCTCGCGCCCCGCCAGGCGCTTGATGAAGATCGCCTCCAGGCCCATCAGCCCGGCCGCCAGCAGGGCGATCAGCGCCGCCGGCTGGAAGGCCGCGCTGCCCGGACGGATCAGCACCAGGGCGCCGACCAGGGCCAGCCCGGCCGCGCTCCAGCGCCACACGCCCACCCGCTCGCCGAGCAGCAGGATCGCCAGCAGCATGGTGCAGAGCGGCGAGAGGAAGCTGATCGCCGTGGCCTCGGCCAGGGGCATCAGCGCGGCGGCGGCGAACAGGCTGGTCACGCCCCCCCAGCCGCAGAGGCTGCGTCCCAGGTGCAGCGGCCAGGCGGCGCCGCGAAAGCCGGGGTAGCGCCAGGCCAGCACCGGCAGCAGGGCCAGGAAGGCGAAGCCGAAGCGCCCCGCGCTGACCTGCAGCGGGTGCAGCTCGGGTCCGGTCAGGCCGCGGCCCAGCACCTTGGCCAGCAGGGTGGTCACCGCGATCAGCGCCGCCGCGGCCAGCATGGCGCCGATCGCCCGCAGCGTCTCGCGCCGCGGCGCGGGCAGCCCCGGCGACCTCGGGGTGTCGCTCACCCGCCCGGCCCGCGCGGGCTCAGACCCGTTCGCTCAACCAGATCGCCAGGCGCGAGCCGGCCTTGATCACCGCCGACAGCCCCTCGTAGCCGGCGGTCTCCTCGGCGCCGTGGGCCAGGCCGGTATCGCGGTGCTCGATCTCCTCCTCGCGGAACTGCGCGATGGTCCGCTTGAGCTCGCCCTCCTCGCCGGCGTCGGAGAGCTGCTCGGCCTGGCGGGCGTAGTGCTCGTCGATCACCTCTTCCACGGCGACGGTGCAGGCCATGGCCGCCTTCTCGCCCATCATCGCGGTGACCGCGCCGAGCGCGAAGCCGGCGACATGCCAGGCCGGCTGCAACGCGGTCGGGCGCACGCGGTGCTTCGGCACGGCGGCGTCGAAGTAGTCGAGGTGCTTGGCCTCCTGCTCCCACATCCGCTTGATGGTGGGCGCCACCGGCGAGCGGCCCAGTACGGCGAGCTGGCCCTCGTAGATGCGCCGGGCCCCGTACTCGCCGGCCTGATCGACCCGCAGGAGGCGGGCCAGCCGCTCCTGCCGGTCCGGGTCGCCCGGCAGGCCGTGGCGCCGCGCCGCGGGGTCCCCGCTCCCGGCCTTCGACCCTGGACTCTTCGACTCTGCTCTCTTCGACTCTGTCGCCTTCGTCATGCCGCGCTCCCGCGTTGCGCCCGGATCACCAGAAAGACAATGGCCGCCCCCGCCAGGGCCGACAAGACCAGGTTCCAGCCCGCCATCGACAGGCCGAACAGCGACCAGGCCACCGCGTCGCAGGGCACCACCTCGGTCTGCATCAGCATCTCGCGGAGCTGGGTGACGTCCAGGTTCTGGAAGTCGGGGGCGCTGCAGCCGGGCAGCCCCTCCCACCAGCCCTGCTCGACGCCGACGTGGAAGCCGGCGATGCCGGCGCCGCCCAACAGCGCCAGGCCGCCCCCCAGCGTCAGCCAGCGCCGCGCCGCGCCGGCCAGCGGCAGCGCCGCCAGGGCCAGCACCAGCGCCGCCACATGGGCGTAGCGCTGCCAGTGGCAGAGCTGGCAGGGCGGATAGCCGCCGAGGTACTGGAAGCCGAGCGCCCCCAGCAGCGCGCCCCCCGCCACCGCCGCGGCGAACCAGGGAGCCAGACGCGGCGCCAGCCGCGTCACGCGGTCGACGACACGGTTGGGCGAACGGTCGGGGGCGGTCTCGGTCATGCGGCGGATATGGGCATGGCGGCGGCCTCAGGCCAGGAAGCGCAGGGCGAGGAAGCCGCCGAGCAGCAAGGCGAAGAACAGCCAGGCGAGCAGCGGCAGGTGGGTCTCGATGAAGCGGCGGATCGGCTGGCCGAACCACCAGAGCAGCGCGGCGGCCAGGAAGAAGCGCCCGCCGCGCGACACCACCGAGGCAAGGGTGAAGGTGCCGAGGTCGAGCTGGGTGACGCCGCTGGCGATGGTGATCACCTTGTAGGGGAAGGGCGTGAAGCCGGCCCCGGCGACGATCCAGGCGCCCCAGGCGTTGTAGGCCTCGGCGAAGGCCTCGAAGCGCTCGAGATAGCCGTAGAAGGCCAGCACCGGCTCGCCCACGCCGGCGTAGAAGAAGTAGCCGATGGCGTAGCCCAGCATGCCGCCGAGCACCGAGGCCAGGGTGCAGGCGCCGGCGATCAGCCAGGCCTTGTCCCGCGCCGCCAGGATCATCGGGATCAGCAGCACGTCGGGGGGAATCGGAAAGACCGAGGATTCGATGAAGGAAACGACGCAAAGCACCGCCAGGGCCGAGCGCCGCTCGGCCTGCGCCATGGTCCAGTCGTAGAGTCCGCGCACCCAGCGCACCGCCTGCGTCCCCCGCCCCTCGGTCCGTCGCCTTCCTTGCCGCGCTGCTATAGCCGCCGCGCCCGCGTCCCTTCAATCGCCGTCTGGTCCCGCCGTCTGGTCGCGCCGTCTGGTCTTGCCCCTAGTCTCGGCCCCGGGCCTGCTGCCGGGCTTGCCCCCGGGCTTGCCGCCGGTGTCGGCCTGCGGCGCGCGCTGGCCTGGACCGCGGGCCCGGGACGCTTCGCGCCGGCCGGCCGCGCCTGCTAGCCTGGACGCAAAGCCCCCGCAGGTCGCGCCCTGGCCGCCGCCTGGCCACGCCCGGAGCCGGCGGCCGGCGCGCCAAGAAGACGGGGGCGAAGAAGACAGGCATGAAGAGGACAGGGATGCTGCCATGAACCCCTTGGCCGAACTGCTGCAGGCGAACGAGCGCTTCTACGAGGCCTTCAACGACCGCGACCTCGCCGCGCTGGCGGCGTTGTGGGACGACGCCGGACCGGTGGCCTGCGTCCATCCCGGCTGGCGCGCGCTGACCGACCGGCACGAGATCCTGGAGTCCTGGCGGGCGATCTTCGAGGGCGGCGGGCCCAGCGCGATCGATTGCCGCGCGCCCGAGGCCTTGCTGCTGGGCGGCCACGAGACCGAGCAGCTCGGCATGGTCATCTGCTACGAGGCGATCGGCAACGCCCTGCTGGTCGCCACCAACGTCTTCCGGCCCACGCCGCACGGCTGGCGCCTGGTCCACCACCACGCCGGCCCCTGCCACGAACCGCCGGCCGAGGCCGTCACCACGCCGCCCAGCCGCCCCGTGCAGTAGCCGCGCGCGCCGGCGCGCCCACTGGCAACGCGCCACGCCATCGCCCGCTTTCCGGATCGCACCCCGGGGCCGGGACGCCGCGAAACCGACGGCCGCCCCCGACACGAACGCTGCGCGCTTGCACCGGCGGCGCGAGCGACTATTCTGCCGCTGGCCCGACCGCAGCCCGCAGTGCCCCTGTGGCGGAACCGGTAGACGCGCGCGACTCAAAATCCGGGTGTGCCGCCCGGGAAGGCGTTTCGGATCAAGGCGTTGCGCCGAGCCGGCCGTCCCGGGGCCCGGATGAGGCCCGACGGCGAGTTCCCGGGGCCCGGGCGGAGCGGGCGTGGAGGTGGATGGAGTTACAGTGCGGGCGTGGCGGAACCGGTAGACGCGCGGGTCTCAAAAACCCGTTCCCTCTGGGAGTGTGAGTTCGAGTCTCACCGCCCGCACCATCCCTCGGCACCGGAAGCGGGAAGCCAACAACGAGAGCGGCGGGCGAGCCCTCTGGGACGGAGGACTCGCGACGTGTATGGTGCGCGGTGAGATGCCCCACGACGCAAGAGAGATAGCCAACTTCTTCCTCGACCACGCCGAATCGCGGGGCGTGCCGGTGACGATCATGTCCCTGCTCAAGTTGATCTACTTCGCGCACGGCTGGCACCTCGCCCGATACGGAGACCCCCTCGTGAAGAACCGGTTCGAGGCGTGGCAGCACGGGCCCGTGGTGCGATCGGTGTACGAGTGCTTCCAGGGGGCAGGCGACAGGCCGATCCAGGACAGGGCCACCCGGTTCGACCCTCTCACGGCGACCAGCGTGCAGGCCGAATACGACCTGGGCGAGGAGGAGCGGACCTTCCTCGGCCAGATCTTCGACGCCTACGCCCACCTTCACGCCTTCCGCCTGTCCGGGCTGACGCACGAACCCGGCTCGCCCTGGGACCAGCTCTGGAACGTCGCGGACGGCTCGACGAACCCCGGAATGCGGATCACCGACGAGAGCATCCGGGATCACTTCATGCGCCGGCACCACCTCCAAGCCGAGCACTGACGGGGCGGGATTCTCCTTTCTTGACTCCGTCTGCGACTCCTCCGTAGAGTCGCAAGATGTCGTACTCGCGCCTCCCGTCGCTACCTCATGTAGCAAAATCGATCCGCCCCACGGTCAAGGGCACGGTGAAGCAACTGCACCGCCTCGACGCCGGGACGCCGCCGTTCAGCTACGACCTCTCGTGGCGCCTGGCGTTCCCGCTCTACAGCGGCGCCGTCAGTCTCGAAGCTGCCGTGGAGGCGTGCCGACGGATCAGGGTGCCGCTCGGCGCGCGGTGCAACGCGGAGGTCGTCGAAATCCTGTGGCAGGACGCGCAGCGCGCCTCGTACTTCTGCCACCCGCTCAAGGACCGGCTCTTCCCGATCCGGCGAGACCTCGTCATCCCGGTACGGCCCCGCTTCTATTTCGTGAAGGACGGCGCGGTGCACCTGTTCTGGCTCCAGCCGTGGAAGACGTTCGACCTGACCGAGGAACAGCTCGGTCTCCTCGCCTCCGTCATCAGGCAGACCTTCGCCGTCGACGACTTCGAAGGCGCCCGGCTCTACCTCCTCGACACCAGCGCGGACGAAGAGGACGGGCAGCGCAGTCCGCAGGTGTTTGGGTTCGACGACCTGCCGATGTTGGGAGACGACGCGCTCAAGGCTGCCTTCGACCGATTCGCGGCAGCGTACGACGCCTTCTCGGCGGAACGTAAACCGAAGCCGGAGCGCAAGCGGCCCGAGGGCGACGCAGAGCAGCCGCGGCTCTTCGACTGAACAAGGCTCGCTTATTGTGGGGATCGGCATTGCATAGTGATTTGGCAGTCGAAGCATTCAAGGTATTTCGGAAGGTATTCTTTGCGGAAGACGGCTCGCCCATAGATTTCAAGCTCCGCGATAAGCGGAACACTCAAGACGACCCATTCGACGAGTATCTCGCTGCGCTCCTGCACGAACGAACGCCCGACGACATCATCTGTGAGCGAGCATCGGGCCCGCTGATCACGCCGGACATGGCCCTGCTTCGGCCTGCTCTCTGTAACAAAGCCAGCCGCGCAGAGTTGAAGACGGACCTGACGCGAATTGTTGGGATCGAGGTCAAAAAGCTGGAGCGCGGCCAGAACGGTATGGTCGGCCGGTCCTCGGGACTGGATTACAACACCACGCCTCCTTGCGGAACGGTGCGCGCATACGACGGGAGCAACTCTCCACTGGACATCCGTGGCTTCTACCTGTTCGTCTGCCTTGAATGGGGGGCCGAGCCGGGAAGCTGCACTCTCACAGCGCTAACGCTGTGCGATGGCAATGCCCTGAACGCCGATTTCGACTACTACCTCTCAGTGGCGGGGCAGCGAAGCAAAGAGATTGGCGTGGGCACATACGGAGACGGCGCCAATCGTAATCGGCCCATGGTGATCTTTGCGAACCCGCTCGGAGCCAAGGTGCTCGACCATCGGGTCACGCTGCTGCACGAACGCGCTGACCTCGCGGACTACGATCCAGAACTGATCGTGGCTGGCCGAATACGGCGAACGGTGCCCGACAATGGGCCGGCCGAGTTCCACTGCTATCGATTGGCCGGTGACCCCGTTGATGAATTCGACCTCCTGGACCCGTTCCCCACTCCGAAGAACCGGTCCGAAAAGACGACAGGCCGCGGTCGCTTCCGGATCAACGTGAGGCCGTCGGGCTAGCGAGTCGGTCGATTGCCGCCTCTATCTCCTCCGCGCCGATGATCTCCTCTGGCTCATCGCGCAAGTGGGCTTGGGACTCCTGCTTTATGAGCTGGCCCATGAATATGACGCGCACATCGTTCCTGCTGAGCTTCCTACCCGAAACCCTAAACCTCTCGATTTGACGGGCCGCCGCCGCTTCCGCCGCCGGCTCGTCCAAATCGGCACGCTTCGGCGCGTGATCGCGCTTGCGACAAACGATGACGACATCGAGGTCGATGGGTTCCTTGGCTTGGTTTTTGGGCGTTGCAACCGACATCTCGGCCTTGATCGGCTGGGTCGCCGTGATGACGAAGCCCGCGTCAGCTAAGGCTCCGAGGACGCTAGTCCAACCCTCTGCCCTGGAATGGTGGTACGTGAACACCAGAAGCCCGTCGTCGCTCAGGACGCGACAACACTCTGCGAAGACTGCCTTCAATCGTGATTGGAATTCCTCCGCCTCTTGGTGCTGTACCTCGTGGTTCGAGCGCGTTGTGTGCCTGCCATCTCCACCGAGGATGTGTCTCTGCCAGACGAAGAAGAAGTCCGCGAGTTGGCTATAGTTCACGTTGTCGAAGAACGGTGGATCGGTCACAACGACATCAACCGATCCGTCTGGTAGGTCGGTTTCCGAGCTATCGCCACACGAGACGTATAGGTTCCGTCCCTCTTCGAACTGTTCGTAGCTGTCGGCTCTCGAATGGCCGATCGGGTCGGAAAGGCCATATACCTTGGTGCTCTTTCCGTTTACCAGCCGCAACTCGAAGGGGTTTTCGCAGTAATCGAGCGCGCGAAGAAGCCGGGAACGGAACATGGTCGAGAACGAACCGGAACTCTTTGGCGTGCCCCACAGGTTTGCCTCAAGTGGCATTCGCTCAGGCTTGAGTATGTGATGGTAGAACATGTGGCGGACCGCGCCCGTGCCCTCGCCCTTAAAGGACGCAAACATGTTGTTGAACTCAAGAGCACCACTGAACAAACAGGTCATCGCATCACGCATGTTGGGCGACTCAATCTCTGAAATGGCCTTTGCCAAAACGCCGAGGCACAAGAGTTGGCGCTCATTGAACATCTCGTGCCAGTAGCGGTAGCCGTAGTTGAGGACCTGGTTCGTGTTGTAGCCGGGCTCGATCCCAACCACAGGGTAGAGTCCCTTCGCTTGCTCAAGCTCGACAGCGGCAGCGCGAAAGGTCTTTAGATCGAGTTCGTCTATCGGAAGGTAGCGTTTGGTTCCATCGGCCTGTAGGACGAGTTTCGCGTACATCCGATGACTTGGCGGCTTTCCGCCCTTCTTGACCGTTGCCGCTATCGGAAATTCAGTGCTGCACGAAGGACACGTGGCCTTAGTCCCTTTCGCAGGGCCGCGTTTAGGGTTGTATGTCGCTAGGCACGAGTTGCACTGGGTTTCCTCGCAATCAAAGCGGACGGTATTGATTTGGCCGCAATGGGGACAG